CTCGGATCCCTGTGGATACTTCGCACACTCCCGTAGGGCATCGCAAACTGTCCCTTTTCTCCCCGCATCCTATTCCTATCCTCCCGACCTCTTCAACAGGTAGAGGCAATCATGCTGCAGAATGGTCCGTAATCCGGAACCTCTCCACAGCCCACTTATTGCAAATCAGTTGCCCACATTAGAGCCCCTCTGAAAGATCCCTCATTAACCCTGCTTCTACTGAAATCTCTGGCGAATGGGCTCTGAAATGCATTCCCACTGACTGTCTCAGTATCTCAAACAGGATGCTGGATGTCAAACAGTTAGGGGCTGACAAAAAACGCAATCTTTTTATCCCTCACAGATACCTGGCTGACTCATGAAAACAGTGATGGCAAATAAATCCATTGCATGCTACTCATTGATCCGAAGAAATTCAATGAGGGGTCGAGCAGGTGGTGTGATCCTATACACAAGTGACCACCTTCCTGTACTATTCGGAATAGAAATTGAAATCGAACAGCGCGAGCTCGGAATCGGACTGAAAACCCACGGAATGGTGCAAAGTCAGGTAGAACCAAAACGAGCTGTGGATACTGTTAATTGTATTCAGAAAATCATGGAAATATATACCGCAAGCAACAAACAGTCATTGAGCGGTTCTTGAATGTCCAATCGATAACGATATGATGTATCTGTTTGCCTTCTTGCATTCAGCCGATCCGGATGATGCCAATCGAGGCCACAGGGTTTGTCGGTTATCCCGTTTCTTGATTGGTTACCTGGAAGCTGTACCGCGGTGTGTGCGTACTCGTCACATAATCACCACAACTTTCCTCCCTCAACAGTGCCTCATCAATTTGCCTTGCTTTTCATTGTGACCTCCTTAGCGTTGCGCTGGTTGAGGCTTCCAATTTCGCCGGTTCTACTGCATCTTCGTGTTCAACGTAATGATATTGGAGAACCGTAGTGTCCGATTCAAGCAGTTCAGAATTGTTAGGGTTATTCTCTTTATCATGGGGTTCTGATGCACTGATAGTTCGTTCGTCCCTGAAATGTATCTGTGCCGTCTGTGGACAGATGCATCTGTCAAATCGGTTATCTCTACCATTGAGTGACTGAAGTTTCTAATGATGATGCCACGAACTGGACTCAGATCGTTGCCCCCGATGTATGTTACATCAGTAGAATCCATACAGCTCAGGGAAGACCTCCGGTGTCGTGACTTAAATAGCTTTGCCGGATTTTCCCCCGTAGTCGCATGTGTCGCCTGCCGGTATTGCAGTAGGAAGTTGTCCCGAAACACCTCCAAGTCCGTAAGTGATTTCGGATTCGCGGATGCCAGTGCACTCTTGACTGTTTTCACAAGATTATCAGTCTGACCATTACAACGTGGATGTCTTGGGGCTGTAGGTAAATGTCGACATCCAATGTTATCGAGCCAAGCTTTCATCTCCGTGGATCACGAAGGATGTTGTTGGCATACTTGTCAGAAATACTTCGGGCCACTTCGAATAGGGATCAACGAGAACCAAGGCATAGTGTCTATTCAGAATTGGGCTGCAGAAGTCCTCATGTACCCGTTTCCATGTTGCATAACTTTCTGGCCATAGAGTCCAGTTTTTCGGTTTCACCTTTACTTTGTGCTGACACGCCTCGCAATTCTTCACAGTTTTGTAAATGTCTGCATCCAAATTAGGCCACCAACATATTTGTCAGGCCAAAGATTTCATCTTCTCCATTCCCAAATGGCCTTTGAAAGGGTCCTCTAAGAATGCTTCTCGGAGCGGGGGAGATATGATCAGTCGATCACCGCGGCAGAGAACACCTTCTGGCTGTACAGCAAACTCCTCCCGATGGATGTAGAACTGTAGCGATTGTACGAAAAAAAGGAGCAATCCACGAGGACGTTTTCCGTTCACTTTCTTCACAATCAACTCTGACTCGAACTGTGATATTTCTTTGTTTTACTTCTGTTTGTTCTACCGAACACGGTTTTCCGCTCAGGTGTACATATAAGTTGGATCCTGTACAAACCGACGCATCACGTGTGACACGCTTTCGCTTTGCTACTGCATTTGTTGCTTGTTTTGTTTAGCGTCACCTCTTTCGGTACTATCTAGTACCACGATTCGCCAATAAACGTCTACGACTCCCACGAGTGTTTATGTCTACTTCGAGCAACGAGACACTAGGAGGTCGCGCACATATTGAGACTCGTAAGGAGACTTACCGGCAGGCCGTCAATTCCGGTTAGCTTTAGAACTGAGGATGCCTCTTCTTTATATCAGGCGGCTATCCTTTCGATGGGGCCGAACTAATCACTGGGTACTATTGGTTTGTATATTTTCTCAACGCTTCCCGCCGAAACTGATGATTGTTAGGCGACGAAATTACATTTCTCTGAGGCGCCAAAGCGTGAGTACCTGGATAGGAAGTCTGACTGTTGAATCGTCTTGCCTGGCCGATGTATAATATCTCAATCGTACGCTGCCAGTGAAATACTCCATCGAGGAAACGTGGCGGCTGTTGATTTAGTGATAGACTTGTTGGAGTTGAGTAAGAATTGTAGCACCTGATTATCCATGACGATATAAAAGTGCAGTCCTAACAAATACTTGTGCAATCTCCGGATAGCCCAAAACACTGCCAAGGCTTCTTTCTGGGTCTGTGAGTGCCCCTTCTCCGCATGGTTGAGAAATCGGGAAGAACAAATAACAGTAAACCCTTCTTGCTCCAACACGGCAACTCGGACGCATCTGTAGCCAGTGTAATCGATTTTGATGGGGAGGGTTCTTTCGCACTCCACCGTCCATTTGCAGTCCACTGCGGATTGTGCGACAAACAATGGTTGGGCCCTGGTGGCGAAATTAGGAATAAATCGTGAATAATACTGAAGGTATCCCATAACTTATCGTGGATGATTTTGATCTTTTGGGGATTCGATATTCACCCGAGGTTGGAATCGGTTGGGATCCGGTCGATATCTTTTGGAACAGACATTGAATCCCAGGAACTCCAACTGCATCACTTCAAACATGCACTTAGATGGTTTGATGCGCACATTTTTCTGCATGAATCGTTCAAAAAGTTTCTTGAAATTGTTATCGTATCCTTCTTTCGTTGTTCCAAACACAATCACATCGTCTCGATATGCCATAACACAGCGTAACCCAGACACAACATTGTCATTTGTGGACTGAAAGATTCCGGATGATGCATGCAAACCGAACGGGAGGAAATTGTACTGGAATAATCTCCACGGCGTATTAATGCCCGCGAATCTGGATAAAATGGAATTTGGAGATAGGCATCTGTCAGACCAATTTTGGAAAATACTGACCAGCGTTTAGGCATTTCATGAAGCCCTCTGTCTCCGTGGTCGTGGATGCACATTTTCGCGATCGAGGATTGATTGTCAATCGATAATCACCACATATCCTCGAAGTTCTGCCATCACTTTTCATCAGGACAACAGCAGGAGTTGCCCATGTAGACGTCGTCACTCGGGAAATAACACCAGTCTTCTCCATGCGGTCGATCGCATTCTATAATAATAATAATTATAGGTGTATATTTCACGAAGCCCGTGAGACATGCACAAGGCATGATCAAATGTTCAGAGCGAGTATACGTACAATAACAGCGTACGTACATAGGTAGACAATAAACAATTAAAAAAATGGTGGGGATCAGAATGAAAACATAGTGTGAAAGGAACACAAACCGGACAAGGTCATAGACGAATTTATGGAAGATGGAGGATGCATTGAAAATGCATGTCACTAGAACTGAAAGTAATAGCAAAGCTGGTCTCGAAAGGATTATCCGTACGGCAACAGTGTGGGAAATACGAAGAGGCGGTCTGTAATACAAATGCTGCCTGATGGTAGAGGTATGAGGACAGGAATAGAAAGTGAGGAATATAGCAGAATAATACGTCGGTAAAGGAACATCTTTCACTCTATCCTGCAATAAAACTCGCTTCTGGAGACAAGTTCATTGTGTTCGGGGCTTCAATCAACCAACGAGTAGTTTGCATTAGTTAGATTAATTAGGCGTTGGTCGCTTTGATGTGGGGCTGATTACACGCTAAACACCTAACCTGAAAACACCTTTTAGGTGGGGCACGGGGTGTAATCCTCAACCTGGTCCGAAACGCGGACGCGTGTAGTCAAAACGATGGAAACAGCCGTGCCCAAAAACATTGCCGGAGGCAAACTGTCCATCGCGGATGAGGACCCTAAGCTTTCGTCAGGCCCAAACAAAACGAATCTGGAACAAAGAGGCGATAAGCAGCAGTCTGGGGTAATACCCAGCTGAAAAAGGGGAAGTAGAGCGGGAAACGGAGCGTGCAGCGGAAAAAAATGAAAATGAATGGACACCAAGAAAAATGTATTAAACTGATATGGTACCGGAGTCGACTACAGAATATGAAATCACAAAACATGTGAAAGTATATACCACACAGGATTGTGTCCCACGAATCCAGCTTTGACGCTGGTTTCGTGTATTGCTGATATCGGGTTAAGAAAGTGTACACAGCTACCTGAGTAGCGTGTGCCACGGACGAGAACGGATAAGATTGGGTGAAAACATTTGGGGGTTTAAGGCGAGATGCATGTGCTGATATGAAAAGTTTTGAGAAAGTGGGAACTGGCACCTGGTGAGCATGTGCCACAAAATTTAACCAACTGTGTCGAACCGATTTGAGTTCAGTGGGGGATAAATCAAGCGAAAATGGGTCACAGTGCTTTTACAAGCCTGTACCTGCAGAGATTTTGTTCCACAGGTCTGGCTTTGGGGATAGATGCGTGTTCTGGTATGACGATTTTAAGAATGTGGATGTACGTCCACCAATTCGCACTTGAGTGACGCGTAGCCGAACCGATACGAATCCCGAATTAAAAACACAATTGATTCGCAATGTTCTACGGTACTGAATTAACGAAATTATTACAATGTGTACAATAAAGCAAACCTCAAATATGCGGCCAAAAGCACTCAAACAAGCGAGCCAAATAAGATGTCCAGAGAGAGGAAAACAGTCGCTCCCGTTCTCAAACTACGCCAAATTCAAATGTGCCGGGCATCCAAATTAACAGATAAATAATGATGTGTGGTGTTCATGATCGTGAAATGTCATTAGAGAAGCAACACAGATAAAGTTATTGCACCATAAATCATCTCGTCTCGCTCGAATTTGTTGACTAAACTTCGTGGCACATGCAAACCAGGTGCCTGTGACCACTTTCCAAACAGAATCTC